CCCAGAAGGTGGTGATTTTGCCCCCTCTGACCCCCGGGGGGAGCAGGGTGAGTCGCTAAAGGGTCCTAGAACACACTCTAGGACCCTTTGGAGGCTCACCCTACCCCCCCCACCAGGCTAGAGGGGGCGAAATTGCCACCTTCTGGGGTTCTTCTGAAGCTTTCCAAACCTCAAAAGAGCCCCAGAAGGTGGTGATTTTGCCCCCTCTGGCCTTCAGGGGGTCTGGGTGAGCCTCCAAAGGTTCCTAGGTTGTGTTCCATAAGACAGACCTCTCCATAAGGCTCACCAATTTTTAGGAGAAGAAAACAGATTTTTTTCCTAAAAATTTCTTCTTTTTTTCTTCTCCTAAAAATTTGGTGCGTCTTATGGAGAGGTGCGTCTTATGGAGCGAAAAATACGGTAGTTACAGGCCCTGCTTATTAGGTGAAAATCCCAGTACAACACTTGATTGCCTAGCAGAGTTTGACAAACTGTAGGGAATCAGCTGCAGTACCCAGTCAGCAGAAGGAAAAGCCTATAGTGAAAAACATAAATCAAGCACGGCTATTTTCATATTCTTTTGTGCATAACATCCTTTTTGCTTATCTTACATTTATTTACCTTTTTTCAAGGGTTATGGCATGAAACATTTGATGTTGCAGAGTTGACCTTTGAGGTTGTTAAGCAACCTGGCTATAACAAGTTGCCATGAGCATCTTAACATGCTTATACTTCGGGATTTGTTCATTCTGCAACTTCCTTAACAAAAAGTGGCTGAGACGTGATAGATCTTCCTTAAGCATGCTGTAGATGCACAACAAACAGTTCCTGTTACAAAATGTAGTAGTAATAGGTTATGTTGAGATATTACATATAAAATGTGTCTGTGTTTTAGATGAATCTTTGGAATTGTTGGGCTGGATTTAAGAATTATGTGAGTTTGCAGCTGAAAACAGTCCATAGTGTGTCTATAGCTTGGGATTTGGTGCAGATGTTTCTCCAGAAAGAGCTTCTACTGCAGGCAAGGAAGTGCAAGAAAGTTGGCTGCCTAAAGCAAAGACAAAATGCTTCCCCCACTCCATGTATAGAACCTGCTTGGATGGCCAGCCGAATCTTATTTTGAAACTGTTGGCCAGACAGTGTAACCCTGACTGCAGCAAGAAAACTTAGGTGACTAGTACAGACATGTACCGGTACAGCTTGTTTCACTGCTACATACTCCTCAACTCAACAGCATCTGCAAAGCGGGATCTGAAGGCCTTAGGAATGGACCTCAACAGATGGGAAACCTTGACATCTGACCATTCAGTCTGGAGGCAGGCAGTGCATCATGGCCTCTCCCAATTTGAAGAGGCCCTTGTCCAGCAGGCCGAGGCAAAGAGGCAGTCCCGGAAGCAGCCAAATCAGGGAGCTGGACAGGAGACAGATTGTATCTTTCTTCAGTGTGGAAGGGATTGTCACTCTCGAATTGGCCTTTTCATCCACACTAGACGCTGTTCCAAGTCCTCCATACAGAGCACATTACCATAGTGAAGGATGCCTAAGAAATTATGTCTGAGAGACCATTGTTGATACCTAGGTAAAATTGTGACAAATGAGATGGTGCAAGTGAGACGTGGGGGGAAAAGATGGTAAAAATGGGAGTTCTGGCTGCCAAACCATTCATGTATGTAGGTTAATGGAGGAGAAAAAGCCTATTGTTCCCATGGAGTACATTTACTGGGCCTTGTAGGTGGTGCATTCTTACTTCTCTAAATTGATCTGCTCTGTTTCTGGGTTAGTGTTAAGGTGCTAGGCTCACCTACATCACTTTATTTGCATTGCTTTGCACAAAGTTCTACTTTGTAATTATGACTGAAGTTGCCATTTTATGTTAAAATGGTTCAGATTGTGTAAAATATTTATACTACATTCTAAGAACTTACAGACTGGATGATTGATTGATGTTTTAGAATCTGCCTGCATATAAGTTGATTCTAATCTGTATCAAGTAGTTGACACTCTTATTATTGAGTTATCCACTTGACATTCATGGTTATTTATAGCCATTCTTGTTATGTGGTTTAAAATACTGTATGAATTGCTGTTCATTTAATGTGTTCAGAGCCACTCTGAGCACACTCTTATGGATCAAGTGGCATAATAAATTAAACAGATTGTGGTGATCGCTATGCATTTTCTGATGGAACAGACCTACCAAAGTTTCTACCTTAGCTTGAAATATAGCTTCCTTTTTGGTTTACATTGGGAATGAAACTTTTATTATTATTATTTTTGTGGGTGTCCGACAGTTCTAGTCTAGAATTGATGAGAAGGCACTCCAACTTGTGAAAAGTCACATATAAAAGTCAGATAAATATAGGCTTTCTTCTTAAATGTTCCATGTTTGCATAAAGTACCACTTGCAACCAGCTGGTGTCTCTTCCTCATGGGAAAGAGGAATGTCTCAGTTGCTTTCCACAGCTGTCCCTTCACAAAAAATAAAATCAATGCTCTTTGCCTCCTGTTTCAGAGACTCTGAACTTTTTCAAACAGCAAGAGCTTCGAAGGGAGAAGTGGGAAAGGAATCGTGGTGTGGCCAAACCAGTCTCCCGACGCTCTGTCAGCAAGGAACGATGGGTGGAGACCCTGGTGGTTGCTGACAGCAAGATGATTGAATACCATGGAAGCGAGAATGTGGAATCCTATATCCTCACTATCATAAACATGGTACAGCACACGTTTCGATTTCCCCAATAAGTTTAAAGTCTATAACCTGGTGGATCCAGAGCAGGCTCATAACTCAAGGACAGTGTGTCCTGAATGCAGAAAGTGCTTGATTGAGGCACAAACATCTCTAGTCAAAAGCTGTCAGGTAGCAGGTTGGGGCCACACAGTACACGACAGATAGCCCATCATCTATAAACTGAAATGTGTTAGTGCTTCAGGGATCTGATTCAGGCTTTGTGTTGAGCAATCATGCTTGCAGACAAAGTCTGTGTTTTTGCCTAGAAGGGCAGTCACAAAACAAAGCAAACTAATTTGAAAACTACAGGACATGGGGAAAGCTCCTTCTGTGACAATGAGATGTTTTCAGAAATTGCAGATTTTCCTCTTGTAATGATGGATTATCTTTAATATAGAATTTAGCCCTGAGATTTATTTCCTGGTGGAGAACCATTGTTGTCAAGTCCTGCCATTCTCAGGCTTTTTTGGCTACAATATGAAAAACAAAATAGGCCAAATCAGGATTGTATAAATTGAATAATGAACTTATAAAGAGGAACCTTATAAAGGACTCCCTCAAATGTGCCAGGGCCCTTCAGAGCCTTAGTGCTTGCTTATCATTAATGACTGATGGTCTGAGAGGGACTTTTAGATGGATTGCTATGCTCTGTGGTTTTAAATGTGTTTTGTATTGATTTTACTTCTTTTGAAAAAATACTTGTTTAATTTCTTTGTAATATTCGTATACTTAACTGTTTTTAGCATTTGAATATTGTCTTTGTAAAGACAATAAGCTTCCTTGGGTCCTTTTTAAGGAGAAAGGTGGGATAAAAATACATATTACTGGATTTATCACTTTCTGTCACTTACAATAGGTCTTTAGAGTTCTGTGTCCAAAACTATTCACCCCATACTCTCTCTCTCTCTCTCTCTCTCTCTCTCTCTCTCTCTCTCTGTGTGTGTGTGTGTGTAGAGGCAATGGAATTGAACAGCATTATGTATCATGTTGATGTCTACAGACAATGGGAAAAACCATTAAATGGCAGTTTAGGGCCTGCTTCAGCGGTAGATATCCCAATCTGATATAATACTGACTACTCTCGGAGTCTCATGTTGTACAGTGTGAAGTGGACTCACTAGTGGACTCTCATGAGCAGCACATTGTATACATGCCTCATTTGTCTAAATAGATTAGTTGGTGTAGACAGCTCCATCTACAGTCATATGAATGGTGCCCAGACTACTTTGAGAGGAAGGAAGGTAATAGCCTGTAGCAATTAATCTGTCTTCACTGCTATTATGAACGCTAGAAAATACGCCATCATTCATGCTTAGCACTTGCAAAGTACTTCTTATTATAAAGAAAATATATAAACCAGATTGAATTCTGAAGTGTACTCTGGGACATTTCTAGAAATAAAGCATAGATTAGTCTGTTGGCAGAGTTTTCTTGACAAATGCTTGCCTGAATTCTGCCATTGAGACAGAGAAGAGTAGCAGAAATATTTCTTCATACAACTGCACTGCCCTCTACAGCCGTTCATTTGACAGTGACTTTAGAAGACAGCATGAATTCTGAGAAACTATGCGCAACTGAAGTGCCAAAGCTAACATGGAACTTCTGAAATTAGTAACCAATAAAATACTACTTTACTGCATAGTATCTGTTCTCAGACTTGTTGGTCTTTGGACTCCTTTGTGTCCAATATTATTAGACAGAGTCTTCCCTAATATGGTGCCCAGATAAAGCATGGGACTACAACTTCCATAATTCTCAGCTTGCATGGCCACAGTGGTGGGAATTGTCCTGAAAACCTGGAGGGCACCAGATTGGGGGAGATAGACTTAGCATGTACCCTCAGGTCCTGAAACACGTATGTCAGACCATACCATATCTGACTCAAGTGATACCCACATGGAATCAGAGGGGCTTTTCCCTCATAGCTATACTCTGTGCCAAAGCACCTATGAGAACAGAACAAAGATCTTGACCCACAAGCACATCAACAGGACTGGGCTTCATTACAAGAAGCACATCTGTTCCACTTCGCCACAGCACATCAGGTTATGATTAGCTTTAAAAGGGAAATTACATCATAGAAACATTGGTACTGGAAAATTCTTCGCCCCAAGGATTCCTAAAGAAAGATGTAAGGCTCTCGATGTGGTGAGCAGAGCAATTATCTTCTCAAAGGCCCTCCACCAAAAGTATATTTTTACCCAAGATAATTGTTTGGTGCCTTATTCCCTGCTTCAGCTAGCGTTTCGAGGCTTAAACCAATTGTTATTCCTAGTGTAGCTGTATTGAATCAATGGACCTTTAGTAAGTCAACACATATGTAAGTCTTATTGATTCTACTTTAGTTGGGACTCAGTTGGGTTTAGTCCTTAGTCCTTATCCTCAGCAACCAACTGAAGTCTAAATACATGTCATTGCAATTCATTCATATACATTCCCCTCACCACTTCCATGCCTCCTCTCTCTTAATAGTGGGTTGTCATTCCTCTTTCTATTCCTTGGTTGCCTCCTTCCCCATCACTAAATTTAGATGGTTGAATCCCTGGGGGCAAGGACACACTTTGTGTGTATGTTACCCTGTATGGTGCTCAATGCTTAACTATAGGAATCATTATAATAGTATGAATCAGCCGCAGAAGAGGAATCTATTATATTTCCTGTTGTCTGTCTGTGTTCTCAGGTGGCAGGCTTGTTTCATGACCCCAGCATCGGCAACGCAATCCATATTGTGCTGGTTCGTCTGATTCTTCTCGAGGAAGAGGAAGTAAGATCCTGCTGTCATTTTAATATATTCATTACACAGCATAAGAAAGAAAAGTTTTATTAGATTTTAGAGAGCGATGAAGGAAAGTGGATGGAAGAGGATTTAATCCTGCAGTCTAGGAAAATGTATGTATTTTAGGAAAATACAACTGTTGTTGAAAGTATCCTGCTTTACTTTCCTGACAGGAAAATTTTAGGTTTTGTGTTCAAATACCTGAAGAAGTTTTAAAGGTCATATTTTCTTCCTAGGGTTTCAGTATGAGGATACCATTTGATTCCAAAATTAGCATTCAGTGTTTAGCATTGCTATCGTTATTTGGACCTTCCACTGACCTGTGCCTTGAATGTTCTACCTGAACCATAAATTTCTCTCCTCTGTTCAGGAATGGTTCCAGTAGAGTGGCCAAATGAATGTAAAGCTAAAACTCATGTGAGCATGTGTTATTGTTCCCTGAACCAGAATATAACTTAATCTACAGCTGTCCAATGGTTCCAGTAGAGTGGCCAAATGAATGTGAAGCTAAAACTCATCTGAGCATGTGTTATTGTTCTCTGAACCAGAATATAACTTCTGCATCTACAGCTGTCCGGTTGCAACATTGTGGACTGAACTGAACTAGCTCATTATAAGAGGTGGCAATTCCTTGAAGGTTAACAGCCATCTGATAGCAATCCCACAAATTGTTCTCATCTCTTACCTTGCAAATTAGCTTCTTTTGTATTGGGATTGGTCCAGGCTTGCGTTCTGATTGCACAGATGCCAGGGTGGAAGAAGATAACGTAACTGAAATAGTATTTTGCTTCTATTGATGATATATCTAAGTACAGCAGTGGATTTGAACTTTTGGTCCCAAGATGTTCATGAACTAAAACTCCCAGAAGCCTTCATCACTAGTTATGCAGGCCAGGATTTCTGGGAATTATAGTTCAAGAGTATCTGGGGACCCAAGGTTGAACTACAGCATCCAATTTGACCCAAAGCATCTGGGGACCCAAGGTTGGAAGCCACTGAACTACAGCATCCAATTTGACCCAAAGATGCCAACTGTATATCTTCAAATTCACAACTGTCTTAGGAGTCAGAGCAAGTTGCAAATCTTGGTGACACTGTGAACACTGGCCGATCAGCGCCATCCACAATCAACTTCTGCAGCAAATTTATAAAATTGTGTTTTTTTTTTAAAAAAAACCAGAACTGGAATTGGAGAGGAAGGGTGTGGATGGAACACATGGGGTCTTCACTATTCTAAACACATTACAGGAGGATATCCCCTAACTCTGGGATCAGTATCCACTGATTCATTTACCCGCTATCTGAAAATACTAAATAACACCCCCAATACCTATTTATTTATCCGAACTGGCCACTAGAGGAAGCCAGAGAGCATGCAATGTATAGTATTCAATACTTCTGCATTTTTAAGTATCTACAGGGCGGAGCTTGGAACAGATCCTCCAGGAATGCTGTGAACCTATTTCATATCTATCTGAATTTTAGAAAGGCACATCAGTTCCTTGTTGATAGAGAAGGATAAAATTTGTTATGAAACAGAAAACATAAGGAAGTATTTTAGCTGAAGAAAATAGTTACTGTACACTGTTTAGTTTAGTTTAGTTATTGTGGAACCACATTAATATGCTGTGTTTAGAAAGAAATGTCTAACATTGGCATTGCAGAGCAGCTGGGGAAATTACATGAAGATACAGAGCCATATCTTTTGCAAATTATGTAGCTTAGTTTGTGGTTGCTCCCAAAAAGATTAAAGGTATTAAAAGCTATTTTTTTTTCCTTGACAAAATTGCAAAAATTTATGGTTATAAACAATACCACTGGCTGAGCGTACTTCGTCAGCTGCTCTGTTTCATTTTTTAGAATTATCTGCAGTTATGACTGAAGTTCTATTTTAACTTTCAGGATTCAACAAGCAGCTGCCATAATGAGCCCTCTTGCTTTAGGCAAAAGCATCATTTGTTAGAACTAAATTACTTTACTGAGAGGTGTAATTAATACTGGTGCAGTTTGTGTGCTAGCAAAATAATGATAATTCTTCTTTCCCTCTCTTTAGGAAGGGCTGAAAATAGTTCACCATGCAGACAAGACGTTAGCCAGCTTTTGTAAATGGCAAAAGAGTATTAACCCCAAAACAGATGCCAACCCACTTCATCATGATGTGGCAGTACTTCTTACCAGGTATGGGAAAACAGTGGGAGCCAGTGTTTAGAAATTGGGTTCTCATAGATGAAGCTGTTGCTGTGTTTGTGAAGGTGATACGCCTCGCAGCTTGACGAGAGGAGTGCTGTTCTCAATATCAGTGACTTACAAGCTCTCTCTGTGGGAAAGGAGCTCTGAAGGAGACATCAAGCTACTGTGGAACAAGGAGACTTGGAGGGTGAGGGGGGGAAATATCCTCTCTGTGTTCCAGGAGAGAAGGTTTGACAGAGTTTTCTATCAGACCAGCAGGTTCCTAGGGAAAAATGATTTCAGATTATTTGTTGGCTAGGGAGAGAGAAAAGTAATGGCAAAACACAGCATAGCTCTAAGAGCCTGTAAGAACAAGGGATCTATGACCGATAAAATACCGTCTCCATATATTTTTTCAGACAGTGAGAAGCATGATAACCCCACATGGAGTTTTCTTACACACACAAGTGGGTGCACAGAGCAAACAGAACTGATAGTTTTAGCTGGACATGAGGAGTTCTAGCATGACAAAGACACATCAGAATCAAGGAGGGTTCTGCAGCTGGGTCAAAAGAGTAACAACCTAGGAGATGTAATAGAGCAGAGTCTTACACTTGAAGTTGAATCAAGGCGGAAACATCCTTTAGTCTTGTATTTTGGCACTGGGGGAACCTTGTCAGCTGCATACAGGCTACCATACCTGATGATCCTGAAGCAGATCGGTCTTTGCAAAGAACAATTTGTAATGGCAGCTAATTAAAATTTTATCAATTAACCTTTTCCTTTGTAGAGATCAGCTCCTGGGCTACTCCTAGGAAGCTGTCATACTTTGGTCTTCATTATCCTGAGAACAACACCTTTAGCTAAACCATATGGAGAACCCATATGTCTCTCACTGCATCAAAACCAGAACTACGGGGGGGGGGAAGACGATAACCCCACATGGAGTTTTCTTACACACACAAGTGGGTGCACAGAGCAAACAGAACTGATAGTTTTAGCTGGACATGAGGAGTTCTAGCATGACAAAGACACATCAGAATCAAGGAGGGTCCTGCAGCTGGGTCGAAAGAGTAACAACCTAAGAGATGTAATAGAGCAGATTCTTACACTTGAAGCTGAATCAAGGTGTTGGACTACAACTCCCAGAATTCTTCAGACAGCAAGGCCATGTTGGCTAGAGGATTCTGGAAGTTCTAGTCCAAAAAGGGAACTTTTTAAGTTCTGTTCAGAATACATATACAGTGGTTCCCCGCATGACGATGACCCCGCTAAACGACAAAACCGCAGGATGATGACTTTTGCAATCACTATAGCGATTCGCAAAACAGCCATTTCAGTGTGGGAATTCCGCTTCACGACGATTTGGTCCGTGCTTCACGGACCGTTTATTTGCAAGACGACGATCTTTACAGCTGATCGTCGGCTTCGCAAAATGACTTCCCGCTGTTTTCTGGACCCATGCATCGGAAGACAGCGATTAAAAACAGCTGATCGGCGCTCGCAAAATGGCTGCCTATGGAGGATCTTCACTGGACGACAAGGTATATTCCCCACTGGAACGCATTAACCAGTTTTCAATGCATTCCAGTGGGGAAACTGTTTTCGCATGATGACGATTTCGCTGTACAGCGATTTCAGGGGAATGAATTATTGTCGTCATGCAGGGCACCACTGTATTCATAAAATATATGGGTGGGCACATCATGAGAAACCAAGTTTCCCTGGAAAAGACAATAATGCTAGGAGAAATTGAAGGCAGTAGGGGAAAAAAAGGAAGACCAAATATGAGATGGATTGGCTTCACAAAAGAAGCCACAGCGTTGAGTTTACAAGAGCTGAGCAGGACTGTAGAGGACAGGACATTTTGGAGGTCACTTATTCATAGATTCTCTGTAAGTCAGAGACAACTTGACAGTACATAACAATAACAATGGTGGATTATTTTACATATCTAGTAGGCACAGCAAATTGTCAGCACACAGGTCTACTGTTCTATAGGGTTGTTGTAAGAATTTGAGCCAGCAAATGTGCATGCAGAGCTTTAGGAGCTAGGTATACCACAGTGGCTGAAATCCTGTTGAGCAGCTACACTTGTGTGATTCAATGTTAAGTAGCAGCAGCTCTGATCATGCCAAAGTGGCAGTGCTATTCACAAAGCATATCTGCAGGCACATTCCTCAATCCTTGTTGCTTGGGTGTAACACCTGGCAAATTTACACAGGCATAACTTTACCTAATGCAAAGACAAATAAGGTTCCAGCTAGTGTATTAGAATGTTGTGTAATTGTTGTCTAATCTTAATAGCAGGAGTAGGGAGGACAAATAGAAGCAAAAGAAATGTGGGTACACTTGTAAAGCTAATTTCTATCCTTGAACCCTACATCTTTCACCAAGTCTAGACAACTACTCAGGGAACAAGCATATATATATATACATGATTTGCACACTAATCATGCAGAATCTTCCTCTGAAAGCATTTTATGAGTCATGGCCTTTTCTACACAGCTAAACAAAAGGAAGTAGAAATGCTTTTGGAAACAACTCCTCCCTGCTTCCATAAATCCTTTCCAAATAGAACAAATGCAAGAGCAAATATTTTTGGTTCGCATTGTTACAATCTGTTTGCTGCAAAATCACAGGGCTTTATTGCCTGTGACTTTTCCCAACAGGGCTTGTTAATGATAATTGCATACTTCTGAATAATGCCATAATCATCCAAAATCTGCAGCATGGTGTGCCTGTTGTTCTCCCCCCCCCCCAATCTCTCTCTCTTTTTCCTCTTGGATAATACCATGGTATCATACCAGCTTGTTTCTAATTCAGGGAATTGTGATTCAGCATTGGAAGACAATTTATGGTAAAAACAAGCGCACAGAATAAAAATACAAATCTAACCAGCCCATGTAATATGCCAGTGACTGGAAGAGATTCAAAAGAAGAAAGTTGTTGGTTTAGTAGATGAATATTTACATGAGCATCTGTTTCATTATTTTTGCAGTTCCAGTGTACTAAAAAGGTAAAGGTTCCCCTTGACAATTTGTCTAGTCGTGTCCGAGTCTAGGGGGCGGTGCTCATCTCCGTTTCCAACACATAGAGCTAGCATTTGTCCGCAGACAATCCTCAGTGGTCACGTGGCCAGCATGACTAGACACGGAATGCTGTTTACCTTCCCACTGAGGTGGTACCTATTTATCTACTTGCATTGTTGCATTTTGCATGCTTTTTAACCGCTAGGTTGGCAGGAGCTGGGACAAGCGACGGGGGCTCAGTCCATCACATGGATTCAATCTTACGAATCCAGGTCTTCCGACCTTGTACCACAGAGGCTTCAGCGGTTTAACCCACAGCGCCACCATGTCCCTCTAGGCTACTAGGCCTGTATATTTAATATATTTAGCAAAGTTTAGGGGGAAAATCCTTTTTAATTTTTTTTCAATTGTTCATTTACTGGCTATGGTATTCTGTAAACTGTAGTCCCAAATCTTTTTTTTTTCAGACTTTGGTTTAATCTTAAATTGCTTTGTTTGTTCTCAATGCGTTCCACCCATAATTCAGGGGTTCCCAAGCTGTACTCACGGCACCACAGGGCACTGCCAAACCCAAAGAGGGGTGCCAGGGAATCCTCAAAAGTACTTCTGTGGAATCCTCAGAGGTACTAGTCAGGGTAGCCTTCCCTCCTCCATGCTCACCCACCCTCCCAAAGTATCATGTTGGGGAAACTGCAGGCAGTGGCCAGTAAGTCAAAGGAGCCACGAGTTGAAAAAAGTTGGGAACCCCTGCCATGGGGTTCCCTATTTTTGTCATACATACAGCAATATTGGTTTCGACTGTTTTACCTTTTGAGAGCCCATATGACCCTTGATGGGTCCTGGGGAAAAGGAAATATGCTGCAGAGGAAGGTCCTCCAGAGCTACCAATCTGTGCACTAGAGGATTGCTTGAAAGGAACTACAGAAGTCCAAGAAACCCTGAACTGAAATTCAGCTTTAAACTGCCTATAGTGTAAAGCTGTTTCCCTTGTTACAATTTACAGCTTGTGCACTAGAGGATTGCTTGAAAGGAACTGCCTATAATGTAAAGCTGTTTCCCTTGTTACAATTGTGGAATCCCTTCAAGATCAAGAAGCAAAGGCAGAAAGATGACTGGATAGAGTTCAAGTCAATTGGGCTGCCAGGCAATGTTGCCCAATTGTTTTCCTTTTCTCTTCAGGGCCAAACCACATGGAAAGGCAGAAAGATGACTGGATAGAGTTCAGGTCAATTGGGCTGCCGGGCAGTGTTGCCCAATTGTTTTCCCTTTCTCTTCTGGGCCTGCACAAAGGAAGCAGGCAAAGCTAATGTTGCTCTTTTTTTACCACTCCCAAGATTCATTTGGGGCTCTCTTCGAAATGAGACCACGGTACTGAGCAGGCAAAGCTAATGTTGCTCTTTTTTTTACCACTGCCAAGATTCATTTGGGGCTCTCTTCCAAATGAGACCACGGTACAGTACTTTCTCCTTCTGCCTCTCCCTCTGTTTCCATTTGCTTAAGCACAGGATTTACCTGGACATTCTGAGATTTGCATCTACACATTGCATCACTCTTCCCTCCCAATGGCTGGAGCTATGAAAATCACTTACCAAAACAGAATGGGATGGGGACCCGGACATTTTCATACTTCTTTACAAGTCCATGGCCAGCTGTAGAAATGCTACAGCTATGCTAAATCCTCAGGTACTCACACAACAGAAGCCAATGAACTTGTGAAGAGCAGAGACAGGAGAAGACAGTGAGGTGTTCAAACAGCACGGTGGCTGGCATATGCTGGCTTGACAAGCTGGCTGGCTTGTCTCCTTTTCTCTCCTATGGAAATCAACAGGCAACATACAGCAGCGTCAAAGAGGTGGGATGGAGGACACAGGAAAACCATCTCTAAACATGTTCCCTCCTGCACCCTCACCGACACGTGTATAGAGAAGTCTTTAAATGTCAAGGTGCAGCTGCCTCAGTCCCCTTCTTCCACTTTTGTGAGTAGTTTTATTGATTAGAATAGTGTTAATATTTTTCCCCTTTAGGAAAGATAGCGCTAGGATCTTCAGGGGAAGAACCATCCAAATAGAATAGTGTTAATATTTTTCCCCTTTAGGGAAGATAGCGCTAGGATCCTTAAGAAGAAATCAGGGGAAGAACCATCCAAACAAGCTTTGGATTAGGAAAGGAAACACTAATTGCTGACCCTAGTATATACTGGACCATAATAATTCTGCATGATTGGGAGGAACTGAAGGATTTGAAGACTCACTAAAGCAAAATAGAACAAAAATGCCCTGTACACACTGTGATTGGAAAAGCATCCTCTGGGTATTGAGGAACTTAAGGGAGTACATATGCTCTCCCTGGATGAACCCTTGTGCTCAGGTGGAACAAAAAGAAAAGGCAGTCAGAGCAAACAGGAAGAAAAATAGAGCCAGTGAAGCTGCTCCTGGACTGTGGGCCTTTGTGGGTGCCCAGCGCTATTGTGTACATTTAACCTGAGCACTGCTGGGCACATTCCCTTGATCATTGTTGGACTTCCAAGTCAGCATGCATCAAATTGGGCAGCAAGTGTTACTCATGTAGTTTTACACCTTTTGTTGTGTTCCCAGGAAAGACATCTGTGCTGGCATGAATCGTCCGTGTGAAACTTTGGGCTTATCCCACTTGTCCGGGATGTGTCAACCTCACCGGAGCTGTAATATCAATGAGGACTCTGGCCTACCATTGGCATTCACAATTGCTCACGAATTGGGACATAGGTATGAAAATGTTGAGATCTTTATTTATAGTATTTATCCATTGGGTTATTACAGCGGGAAAGGCTTTTGGAGTGGCTACAGAGAGAGAGAGAGAGAGAGAGAGAGAGAAGATGGTCTGTACAGGCTTCTTAAGTTTAACAGAACAGCTTCTAGATGGCAGAGTGAATGCCAGAAGGAGTTGACTTCTTGGGATAACTAATGGTCACTCTGTTTTCCATCTTTCCTTCTTCCAAGCTTCATAAAGATAAGGGGATCAAATCCCATTGTTAACTGCAGCTGAAATAGTTGCAACCACTGTTACATTCCCATGAGAAGAAAGAGCAATCTGTTGTTTTGATGCTAGTAGCAAGGTTATTGCCAATCAGTGTAATATAGCGAGCAAATGTGTGTCTTTTGAAAGCAGGCATAAAGCAATTCGGGTACAAAGAAATATCAAAGATATTTAAAAACAATCCCTTTTTAAATGAGTGAAGTATTCTTCCTTCCCTCCCTCCCTCCCTCCCTTTTAGGCCACCGATTGTCCAGTTAAAGAACTCAAGGTGGCTTACAATGTACAAGTTATTTTAAAAACAAACTAATTAAATCTTTAATAAATTACAACACTGAAAACAATTAAACATATAACGGCATCGAAACAGGAAGTTAAAACTGTTTAAAAAAACAGTGTCCAGCACACAGGATGAAGAACTGCACAATTGGTTGAAAGCATGTTCTTTCTTTCTTTCTTTCTTTCTTTTTAGGCCACCGATTGTCCAGTTAAGGAACTCAAGGTGGCTTACAATTTACAAGTTATTTAAAAAACAAACTAAATAAACCTTTAATAAATTACAACACTGAAAACAATTAAACATATAACGGCATCGAAACAGGAAGTTAAAACTGTTTAAAAAAACAGTGTCCAGCACACAGGATGAAGAACTGCACAATTGGTTGAAAGCATGTTTGAAAAAGATGGTCTCCTTGGCTTACAATTTACAAGTTATTTAAAAAACAAACTAAATAAACCTTTAATAAATTACAACACTGAAAACAATTAAACATATAACGGCATCAAAACAGTAAGTTAAAACTGTTAAAACCTCTTAAAAATACAGAGAAAGATATATAAAAAAACAGTGTCCAGCACACAAGATCAAGAACTGCACAACTGGTTGAAAGCATGTCTGAAAAAGATGGTCTCCTGTTGTCAGAAGGACAAGAGGCAGGGAGCCAACCTAGCCTCCCAAAGGAGGGCAATCCACAGCCTGGGAGCAGTGACAAAGCGGGCTTTCTCTTCTGTCCCCTCCAGATGTCCCTGTGAAAGCAGCTAAACTGAGAGAAGGGCCTCCCCTGAAGACTTTTAAGAGCCAAGAAGGTTTATACAGGGAGATATGGTCTTTCAGATTTCCTGGACCCAAACTGTGTAGGGCTTTATAAGTCATAACCAGCACTTTGAACTGGACCCAGAAACAGACCAGCAGCCAGTGGAACCATTGTAGCAAGACAGTTATGTGGTTCCTATAACGAGCCCCAGTGATCAGCAGCCTGACTGTAGCTTTTCAACCAGGCGGGCTTTCTCTTCTGTCCCCTCCAGATGTCCCTGTGAAAGCAGCTAAACTGAGAGAAGGGCCTCCCCTGAAGACTTTTAAGAGCCAAGAAGGTTTATACAGGGAGATATGGTCTTTCAGATTGCCTGGACCCAAACTGTGTAGGGCTTTATAAGTCATAACCAGCACTTTGAACTGGACCCAGAAACAGACCAGCAGCCAGTGGACCCATGTAGCAAGACAGTTACGTATGTGGTTCCTATAACCAGCCCCAGTGATCAACAGTCTGACTGTAGCTTTTGAACCTTCTGAAATGTCTGAATGGTCTTCAAAGGCAGCCCTACGTAGAACGTGTTGCAGTAATTTAAGCAGGATGTAAGGAAGACATGTGCCATTGTAGGCAGATTAGGCATCTCCAGTAACTGGTTCAGTTGAGACATCAACTTTAGCTGTGCAAATACACTCCTGGTCACTATCAAGATCTCAGCATCCAGGCTCAGGGATGAGCCCAAGTACACCCAAGTTGTGAGCCTGAGTTGTCATGGGAAATGTAACCCCCATCCAGCGCAGGTCAAATCCCTATTCCCTTATATGCCTTATCCAAGAGCGTATATAAGTGCAAGTGGTCAACATGATCAAAGTGTTGTTTTTTAAAAAAAGTTTGTTTAGCTGGAAGCAACTTTTTACTCCTTACTGGAACAATGTTGTGTGCATATCGTCTTGCTTAAATCTTTGTGAATGAAAGGACTAGTAATTTATTTCTCTAGCTTCACATCTTTTAAAAGGCACTCCAATGTACTTTTTGCTGTGTCTCTGGAAATGTTAATATCTGCATTTTCCTTTCACCATTTGGAAAACACTCATCTGAGTTTGACAGCATTGCACAATCTCTCAGCATTTCTAAATTATTCAGTTGTGGTTTTTTGCCAGGTTTTGTACAAGCACTCTTTAAAAAAAAATCCAAGTAGAGGACCCGGTGTTGGGCAAGGGCTGAGGAGGCCTGGGTTTGAATCTCCACTTAACCGTGGAAACTCATGGAGTGGGGGAGGGCACTGGTAAAACCATTCCTTAAATATCTCACTTTCCTTGAAAGCCCTATTAGGGTTACTATAGGTCTCTTCTGACTTGACAGCACATAGCAAATAATAGAGGCGCATAGAAGAATTTCAAAGGATTAACATTTGTTTAAATGCATTTCCTGCCAGCCTATCTGTATGTCTGTGCCTTAATTCAATTAATACTTGACTTTGCCTCTAAGAACTGACTGCACATCTTCTTTTTTTGAATTGGAGTTCTCCCCAATCTCTGTTATTTCTCTTCCCACTTCTGTATTAGCTGGAGAACTGTGTGCAGGCCTTGAGATACACTACAGTGAATTAGAGGTGCGTAGATTTATGGTTGTTAGACTACAACTCCCAGAGTTCTCCAAGCAGCTCCAATCCTTGTGGAATTTTGGGAGTTAGAATGCAAAAATAGAAATCTGCACACTTGCACAAATGTTTACCAAGGATGGCCAGATAATAACCTCGACCCAACAGCTGTCCTCTGGAAATGTTTTTGTTTTGAGTGATATTTTTCCAGTAGTTTGTGCTCTATGAAGGTAAGATATTCTGGCTCCTCAGCAACAGCTTGTGCCTGGATTTATTTCTCTCTTAGTTTTGGTGTCCAGCATGATGGAAAGGAAAATGACTGTGAGCCAGTGGGAAGACGCCCATATATCATGTCGAGGCAGCTACAATATGACCCCAATCCTCTTACCTGGTCACGATGCAGCAAGGAGTACATCACACGCTTCTTAGAGTGAGTGAGTCAGTCTGTCAGCTTTACACCTTGGGCAGTGGGAGACGTTGACATAAATTCTTAGCCTCAATGGCTCTGAGCATTTTTGTGTGCTTGCTTGTTTTGGAAACCCGAGTAACTAATGATTTATAAACTACAAAGCCGATAAAAAGGATGATGAGAGGCAGCCTGCCTTGCATGTTGAGTGTTATGAGGACTCAGTTATGCTATTGTGCTCGTAAATTGATGTAGTTGTGGCCTTGCTAAAGGATAAAGGATAGATCCTTGAAACTTAATCCATGGCACAGAATTATAGGGTGTTACTGATACAATTTTGATTGTGGGGTTGAAAGCAAATTAACACGTGAAACAAAAATGCTAAAGAAAAGACAATTGCATTTTAGCACATTCACTGAAAGCCATCTGATTGCTGATAACAGCGCCACTATATAATCATCAGCACTTTGAATAAGTTAACAATGCCATTGTCATTTTGAAAGCACATTGCCAACATCATGGTCATCTCACTTGGTCTCTGCTCCGCTTCTTATCCTTTGTGTATATAAACCTATGGCCAAACCAGTAGGGTCCATGTGTCTGAGAAAATGGATTGTAAAAGCACAAAAGCACAATTTACAATGAATTTTCAAGATTAGGTTGAAATACCACAGGATTTTGTTGCAATTATAATAGGGGTCAATTTGAAGTATTTTTTTTTCTGATCACAGAACACCACAAAGGCCAATTTGAATCAGCCTGGCCCTCTCTTGCCCCGACTCAGCTTTTGCCATTGTTGAAGTAAGGGTCCGTAAGACAAACTCACACATTTCAGTTTCTGTTTATTGTCTTCTAGATTGTCTTGCTGTCTCAAAGAGGAAGTCATTGCAAGTTGTGGCAGATCCTGGTCAAAAATAGGCCGAACCAAACGTCTTGCCATCCCCTAATAACTTGACAAAGAGACTGCTGTTTTTAAAGGCAGTCTTGTTTATTCCAGCATTTCATTCTCTCCTGGTTTTCTCATGCATCTCAAATGTTATGATTTTCTGAATCATCTTTTTAGCAAATAATCTTTACAGAAATGTAGTGATCAAAACAGGATGCTGTGATCAAGCTGATGTCTGATCAGCATTGAATAGAATGACACTCTCACCTCCTACATACTGTCAGTCTAATACATCCTTTGCTGACAGTCTGACTTATGAAGATGTATCCTCCTCTTCTCACGTTCCTGTTTCCTAGTTTCTCCCACTATTCACCTAAAAAATAGGAGATTGGTTGTCATTTCTGAGATGTAAGGGATTTCTGAGATAAGGTGTTTCACTATTCATGTCACAAGATGGGAGGTGGGTGTTTTTTCAGTCAAAATATTAAGATTTGATCCTATGTCCCAAATTTAGCCGAGGATGGGGCTTCTGCTTGGATGATGTTCCAAAGAAGAAGGATCTAAAGCCCCCTTTCATTGCTCCTGGGGTGATTTATGATGTGCATCATCAGTGCCAGTTGCAGTATGGACCCAATGCTACGTTCTGTGAACAAGTTGATGTAAGTTCCCCATAGCACCTCTCCTACTACACAACTCATCATACCTTTTAAAATAACAAAATCCAGTTCATTGCATCTCAGTGGACAAATGAGTCCTGCTGATCCAGGGAACCCAAATCTGTTTGCATTTCATTGTGCTAAAAGTGGAGCTGGGAATCTAGGGTCCTCCAGATTTTGTTACACTCATAGAATCATAGATCGAGTTGGAAGGGGCTTATAAAGCCATCAAACCCAACCTGCTCAAGGCGGGAATCCAAATCAAAGCAGATCTGACAGACGGTTGTCCAATTTTCTCTGGAATGCCTCCAGTGTTAGACCAGTCACCAACTCCCAGTTAGTTCTGTTGTCGTACTGCTCTAACAGTTAAGAAATGTTTCCTGATATTCCGTCCAAATCTGGCTTCCAGTAGCTTAAGCCCATTGTTATGAGTCCTGCACTCCAGCAATGGGATGCAGTTAATGGAACATGTATGCCTCCAAGTGCGTAATGAAATAAAGTGGGCTATAATAGCAAGGGCCAAATCGAAGTACATAACAAGTAAAATCCTGAACATTGCCAGGCATGCTGAGAAACACTAGAGACTAGAGATGGGGGTATTCATATACGAATGCGAACACCCCTGCATAGCAGGAGTCAACGAGGATCCGGCCTCCTGAGGCCAGACCGTCTACTCATGCAATCTGCCGCCAGCCCTGCTCTTCTTTACAATTGTGCCAGAACACCTAGTCAGCAAACCATGTTGCTGTAAATTAGCAGTTTTGTCCCAGTCCAGGCAGTCCAGTTGAATCACACAGACAAAGGCAACGTCTTCCAACACCAAGTATATTTACAATGTATACAGAGGTTTTAGCAGTACAAGCTGGCAGCATGACAGCACGCCATTCATCAGAAGAGATCCTACATCTTCTCCACATGTCCACACAGTAATATATATGCACATTTACATATCGTCAATCAGTAAGGACATTGCATCACCCCAGACACTACTTCATTTAATACACATTCTACGATTCAGCATTTTGCACACCTGTCAAATATGGTTGCTGATTATTATAAGCCTTTTTCTGCCTCAGTGTGGAAATTATCCTTGACAAGCCACTTGTCAGCCTTGCAGGGAGATTCTGCTTCCCTCCTTCTGCTGGAATTAGCTAACCGGCCAGGTGCTCCAGAACAATTGGAAGGAAGAGGGGGCCCGGCAGCGGCAGCAGATGCATGAGTGGACAGTTAACTCCTGCTATACAAATACGAATACCCCCATCTCATGTGTATGCTTTCATTTGTGGAAGATTTCAGCTGTGGTTTCAGTGGACATGGCTCTTTCTGTCTATATGTTCATAGAAGGTGTCCTTGATAACTCATAGTAGACTTCCATGGTGAGCCCTCCATATTTCTTTCACTGGACCATGAACATCAAGTTGCATACAAGTGGCGCTTTAGAACAGTGTTTTCAAACAGAGTCCTTTCTAGGTTGATTTGTCAGATTAGGAACTCCTACATGTCAGCCATGGGATTGCTCTTTTCCAAAGGATTCTGGGGCATACATGAAGGACAGGATCATTGGAAACAGGCTTACATTGAATCATAAAATTGGTCCATCTAGCATAGTCTTCTTCACACCTGGAACAAACGTTTAACAAGAGTCTTCTCAGTCCTGCATGTGATCTTTTGTCGAGCTATAGGTAATACCCAGATTCATGCAAATTCACAGGGATGTGGCTCAGGTTCACTATCGTAAGAGTCATGCCATAGCGGATCAAAGACCCACTTAGTCTGACATTCTGTCCCTGCAGTGGCCAGTTGGATGTCTTTGGGAAGCCTACAAGCAGGCTCCAAATTTAAGAGCACCCTGTCTCTCATGTTCCCCAGTATGCTGTCTCTGATAGTATATAACCATAATTTGCTGCCATTCATAGCCTTATCCTTCCTTAATTTGTCTAGCCCCAATTTTTACAGCTGTCCATCCATCACAGTCCGACCCATGCATTGCACCAGAACATGGTCATGATGGCCAAGCAGCCCCAGAAGAAGCTTGTTTGCTATTTCTAATTTTCTTTTTAGTTGAGTTGAGTTTAGATTCATTTACCTTAGTTTAGTTTTATTTTCCAGAATATCCAGAAGAGGAAAGCATAAAAACCAAAAGAGTGAACGTCTGGTGTATTTGAGAGGGGCTTGGAAGGGGAACCCTACTAAGGCTAAAGTATCTAACATTTTTGTTCACAAAGCCCTAAAATCTTTTGTAATAGGCAGAGAAAACCTATGGGTTTCATTTCAGATGATTAATGAGTCAGCGTAGTAGGTACGTCAGTAAAGAAAATAAGAGCTTGATCAGATGGGTATTTGTCCTGCTGTTTGGTGCACTGTAGTGATGGATTAGTTCACTCTTTTTTGATGACCAGACAATCTGATTGCTAGAGCAAACTAACCCATCCCCAGAGTGCCCCTACCCACACCATTTTGAGCACCTGTTAGGGGCTTGTACTTGTTTGTTGTGGGTTGGTATTCTCTAGTTTATTCTGTTCCTGGGATGTGTGATCACTGGGAGCAGACCAAACTCAAGCCTTGAAGCTGCCAAAGCTGCCAAGGCTCATTCTGCTGTCAATTTCCAATACTGTGAAATGACTTAATAAGTGAGACACTTTAGGAAATTGAACACTTCCCTGCTTCTGTGCAGAGGAGGAAGGGAAATGAAATTATTAATTTTTGCCTCTGCTAAACCATTGCTGATGTGCTGAATGGTTTAGATTAAAATTTAAACAAAATGTCTTTTCTTTGTGTGAAGTGCTGAGTTAAACCTCAGCTTTGGGCAGTTATTTTTACCCAAGCCGTTTAGGGCTTTATATGTTAAACCTCAGCTGTTGGCAGTTTTTTTTTATTGACGCTACACACAAGGCAAAGAAATTTTCTAAAATCTAGGTTATTCAGTGTATCAGCAATGGTCTAGCAGAGACAAAAATTAATGATTTTGCTTCCCCACTCTTCTACAGAGGAGTAGCAAAAGTGATCCATTTCCAGTATCTTGAAGTAGCTTGTTTATTAAGCCACTTCACAATGCTGGAAACTGACAGCAGAAGGAGTTGGGCTAAATAGGGTTGCTTGAGGTCCTTATGCCATTTGGATGTGTGGATCACATCGCATGGTATATTGCTCCTCCTGCAACCTCAGGCAATGCTATTTAAACTGCATCAGCCTGCTTCAAAAACCCAGTGTAGTTGCAGTCTAATTCCCTGAAGCTAGAAAGTTTGAGAAGCAGTGGGTTACAGTACAGTACTTGAAACTGGTGGAGGAGTTAGGATAAAGAAAAACACTATAAAGGAATATGTTCATATCACCAGCAAAGGCTCCTCTAAATCATATTCTATGCATGTCTTATAAAACCCTTGACAATATACCTTTCAGAAAAGTAACTGAAATGAAACGAAGCAGCTGTGGTTGCATTCCCTCCTTCCTATCACATTGTACTTTGCACAGATATGAGTCCCATGCGATATTTCTCTTTACTCAGCCAATAGCTGAGAGCAAAGCGCTCTGAAGGCAGGGGGAACATGAGAACAGAACATAAATAAGGCTTGCTTTCCTATTTTTCCCCAAGGACTAATGAATAATAATGCCCAAACTAATCTGTTATTCCACCCTCTCCTTTTCTGAGGGAGGGAGGGGGTGTTTGCTTTCTTCTAACCAAACAAGGAAATGCAAGTTGCTGTATGGGTCGCTTATGTTGAGGGTCATACATGGAGTTTGGCAGAAACAGAGATTTGTCCATTTCCTGTTCCCTCAATGGCAGTGAAGGGCAGCACTTGAGGTACATGGGTACTGGGAGTAGAGGAAAACACTGTTGGGAATTTCAGTCATTTTCATGATTGTGAAACTGTTAGGCAAGAAAGTTTGCGCACCCATGAATTAACATTCTGCCGCATTGTGTTAAAAGGAGTTACTGTTCTTTTGTGTGAAGAAAGATCAGTGTATTTCAAGACCTCTCAAAAAATACCATCTCAAAATTCCTTAAAAACTCAATTGTTTTGTTTGTAAAAATTTATGTTGCTGTTGCAGAACATTTGCCAGACGCTGTGGTGCTTTGTGAAAGGTTCCTGCCGTTCCAGGCTTGATGCCGCTGCAGACGGAACACGATGTGGTGAGAACAAGGTGATTATAGGTTTATCTCCTGGGAAAAAAAAAGAATGGAAAATGAGATGGCATCAGATATTGTATAAATCAGTGAGTTGGACTTGATGACGATGTAAGAATTGGACAGGGAATTGGATTTGATGGGTGATATAAACACACGAATGTATTGCTCCAGTACCTCAAACAGTCAAGACAAACTGGCATCCAGTGAAACAGCTGTTGTCTTTCCTGCTGCTAATCTTTGCATTTAGTCACATTCTTTTCCAATAGTATTTTTACTGTAATTTTAATCTGAAACCCTGACCCTGTTTGACACTAGCATAAAGGTGTCATCACAGAAAAAATATTTACTTCCCCACCTGGGAATGTGAGAAAATTGCTGCCTTTTTAAATCAATGTCAGTTCTTCTACCAGCAAGAAGTTAGCTCCTAGAGATCAGCAATTCTTTGTACGCTTGGCAGATGAATAAAGGTTTCTGAGCCTACCCTTAAACATGGGTGAGCAAGCTTTGATCATTTGAGACTGCCCTGTTTCTGGCTCTCGGCTGCTTGGAATTCATAGCAGACCCTCTAATAAAACCATTGTCACAATTTCCTAAACAAGCTTGCTTCCCATTTAAAAATATCCACATTAGTTTCTTCATTTTTCCTGGCCAATAGAAGGGGAGGTTATGGCGGCAGTGACAGATTTTACTTTCTTGGGCTCCATGATCACTGCAGATGGTGACAGCAGCCACGAAATTAAAAGACACCTGCTTCTTGGGAGGACAGCCATGACAAAACTAGAAAGCATCTTAAAAAGCAGAGACATCAATAATAAGGCGGAGTTTCATCGCAGTGCTGCCAGCAACCCCGGGAAAGCTGGAACTGCCCAATCTGGGGCCCCTCTAAAATTGGGGGGCGGTCGAAGGAGAGATCAGGAGAGGTCTCTCTGAAGAGCTGGTGAGCATCAGAAAGAAAAATTGGGCAGCAACCCGGTATTTATTCCTCTTTCCACCTGAGCACAGATCGGCGCAGGAGCCATTTTGGAAATGGCTCCCCCCCCTCACTCCCTGAGGAAAGGAAAACAAATAACACGGCATTGGAAACATACAGTAATAAAGTAAGTGGAAACCTCCGAACTATGAATAAATACTATTAAGATGAAGAGAAATTAGTGGCCGAAAGAAGAAAAGTAGCGGCGAGCTTTACTTATCAGCTAGCTTTATCAAAAGCGAAATGGTTTCTTAATTAGCAAGCTGGCTTATGGCCAAAAGAGAGATATTGAGATGAAAAAAATCTCTTGTTTCTGGAAAAAAAATGCCAAAGTGAAATATCACTGAGTAGGCTTTTAGACACGGAAGGTTGTAAATGTTGTTTAACCTGGAATTTACTTCCTGGATTGTCTGAGACTTTGAGAATAAAAAACTTTTGGGAGTAAGAAAATGGGCAGTGATTCTGCAGTGAGACGATACAGAGTATTCAGTAAAATCAGGACTGGAGTCTGATGGATCATAAGAATATTTATTGGAGAGACTGGTTTCTTGTGTTTGCTGTTATGTTTGAACTCTTTTGTGGCTGGAATACCCCTTACTCTGTTTCTCAATTTGGATTTGCAACTTAGGGATGGACAAGACTTAGTAAACAGAAGATTGCTGGGTGTTGGTGAAGGAACAATAAGCTTTTGGAAGCAAGAATGGACTGTGAACCATCAACGAGATGACGTAATCAAGACAAAGGAGCTAATAAAATCAGGACTGGAGCTGGACAGATTATAAGGGAAGGGGACGACAGAGGATGAGATGGTTGGACAGTGTCATTGAAGCAGCCAACATGAATTTGACCAAACTCCGGTAGGCAGTGGAAGACAGGAGGGCCTGGCATGCTCTGGTCCATGGGGTCACGAAGAGTCGGACACGACTAAACGACTAAACAACAACATTAGTTTATTCAGAATAAACAAATATCTTTGTAAACATGGTGTGGGAGGACAATTGTGCCTCAAGAATTCTTAGTAAATTGATACCTCAGCAGCAGGAGACTGAACCAAATCAGGACGCAGCCACACTAGTGGTAGAGAGCGACCTCCTATGGGCCGCTTTGGAATGGTTCAGCTTGATTAGAATGCTCTGATCATTCACATGACAATGGCTCCTGCCAATATTGTGAAGTGCCTTACTAAGCAAAACACTTCCCATATTGGCAAATTAATCAGTTCCACTGTTTAGCAGAGGGCAGGGGAAATGATTTTTTTAAAATATATGTAGATTATCAATATTATATAGATTATTGCTGACGAGCTGCATCAGTTGTAAAAAAATTTAAAATATCTTTTCTTCTGATGGTTGTCATAGGTTCTTCTTCATGCACACTAATGGGTTAATCCGCGCTTGTGTGGAGCAGCTTCAGAACTTTCTAAATCAACCACATGGTGCCGGGACCTCCCCCATGTAGGCTATAATTCTGCCCCCAGCACGGGGTGCCCCTGTCTCTTTCTATGCTATAATTCTGCCCCCAGCACGGGGTGCCTCTGTTTCTTTCTACCGCTGCTGTTGCAGCTTCATTTGGAACTTCATGCGCTCAATCAAACAAACTTACCTTTCCCTTGTTTTTCTTGGACCTCCCTGGCTTGATCCCGGATTGTGGACTTCGCTTTGCAACTGTGAGTTCATCTAGAAAGAGAAAAATTGAATTGATTATAGTGTTGTTTACCTTCGAGTTTATGGCCTCTTCAAGAGGTGCGAGGTCTGCTCAAACAAAGTTCCCCTCTCCGACAGGCACTCCCATTGTTTATTTTGTCTCGGAGAAGAACACCAGCTGGCCGCATGCACCTTTTGTAAAAACTTTACTAAGCCAGTTCTCAAGTTGTGGCTCCAACGCCTTAGTCCTTTCTTTGGGAAAAGTCCCTTTCGCCAACTCAAAGTTCTTATATGGATTCTTCCAAGAATCTGCAACCATCCCGGTGCCAGGTGCGGAGTTATAGCCAACATGGGGGCACCATGTGCTTGAGCTAGAAAGTTCCGAGGCTGCTCCACACAACTGTGGATTAACCCATTAATGTGAATTCACAGATGACTCGAAGAACCAGAGTTACAGGTAGGTAACCTCTTTTTTCTTCAGTTTGTTTGGCCGTGGTCTGGAGGTTTTCGTTCCTAACGTTTCACC